ACCAGATCTCATTACAGATGGTTGTGAGCCACCATGTGGGTGCTGGGAATTGAACTCAGGGCCTCTGGAAGAACAGTCGTGCTCTTAACCTCTGAGCCATCTCTCCAGCCCGCCATCCTACTTTTTAAAGCAGTTGTTGAGATTCTTCCCCCCACCAGAAGTAAACAGCATTCTTGTCATCAAGACTAGCAAACTGAAGCCAAGGGAAACCCATATGTGGTGATATTTATAATCTAAGATATAAAACTTGCCTGAAGATCAGAGGACAGAGCCAGCCACTGGATTAAACATAGAGGCCAGGCAGTGGTGGCACACACCTTTAATTCTGGCACTTGGGAGGCCAAGATCTATCTGGATCTCTGTAAATTAAAAGCTACACTGGACTAGACAAGATTAATACAGTTTAAAAGAGGAACAGCTAGACAGTGGTGGCACACACCTTTAAACCTAGTACTTGGGAGTCACATGCCTTTAATCCCAGCACTTGAGATCTTATACCTTTGCTACCAGTATTTGGAAAACACACACGCCATTAATCCCAGCGCTAGGAAGGTTGAGATAGGAAGTGAAATGGCGTATAAACTGTGAGGAGACAGGAACTCAGAGCCCCTTTCAACTGAGGACTCAGAGGCATTCAGTCAGAGGATTCGTGGAGTTGGCGAGGTGAGAAGTGGCTGTGGCTTGTTCCTTTGTCTCTCTGATCTTTCAGCATTTACCCCAATATCTGGCTCCAGGCTTTTATCAAAAGACCATTTAGGAATTCCTGCAACACCCATACAAGTAGATCTTGTTAAACCAACCTTTATCTTTCTAGTCACTGCTCTACCCAATTGTGCCCAAGCCCATGTTTTTTTTAAATTTTATTGATTTATTATTATTTTTCTCAAAATGATTTTTGTTAGTTTATGTATTGACGTGTATGATGATCATGACTCCCAAGAAAATTGTTTTTAATACAGTCTATGAGGGTTTGTGGAGGTTGCTGTAAAATCGTAAAGTACAAAAATTTTTCCCCTCTAAATTCCTGGGTAAAAGGACTTGTTCATTTGGGAAAAAAGAATTCAAACATCTATCTGTTTGTACATACACACACACACACACACACACACACACACACACACACACACACCAAAATAGTATTAACTTTAGAAAACAATATTAAGACTTTTTTATTTTTTAAGCTCACAAGTCAAGTTTTAATTTATTTAATCATTTAATGTAACAATCTAAAGCATAATTTGACATATATTTTGACTTTTTTCTTTCTTTTTTCCCCCTCCTGAGAGAGGATTTCTCTGTGTAGTTTTGGTGCCTATCCTGGATCTTGTTCTGTAGACCAGGCTGGCCTCAAACTAATAGAGTTCCTCCTGGCTCTGCCTCCCAAGTGCTTGGATTAAAAGTGTGTGCTACTGCCACCCGGTTTATTTTGATTACTTTTAAGTAATTCAT